ACACACACACACACACACACGAGACGACGAACGTAACAAATTGGAATATTTATCAAGGCCGGAGGGCAGCACCGACGTCCGAGCGGCAAGGGCGCTAGTTATACGAGATAGCAATGGATGTCCATGTAAGTACTCTAAATAGCAGATAAGGTTTTGCGGGACGGCACCACAATCACCTCGCACATCTCTCTATCGACTCCCCCATGGACTGTTATTCGAAATATAGTGGATTCCTATCCACTTATTTACTCCGCATATCGTACCCACAGGCTGATCTTGCGTGCATAAGCGGCTTTAATGTACCCAGATACGTATATTACATTCGGAGTAAGACTCGCGCGTTCTGCGCGACCTTTGTGCTGTAAGCGTTTCTTTGCACTGCATATTGTCTGTGGTAACATCCGAACCCGATTCTTAGTGACCCACAAATATAGGAGTGGAGAGAAGAGAGGGGGGGGTGATCGACACATGTCAGCTGCTGTACTCGAGAGGAGGGTTGCCAATGAGCGACACAAGTGTGAACACACACACACCGCTGCCCTTTTGTTTTGCCGCAATTGCCTTCCCCATCTCTGAGCGCTGGGAGCAGTGTAAGATTTCAGCGAGTTTTCCCCAATAAAACCCCACACTCACACACACACACACACTCTCTCTCTCTCTCACTCACGCACCAGCAAAGCCGCCTGCAGCGCTGCCCGCAACCGTCGCTGTATCCACTGACGATGATGACTGCCGACCACCAGCAAACAGTGGCGATGATGATGATGATGATGATGATGATGATGATGATGATGTTGATGGGGTAGCTGTTGTACTTGGCACAGGGGTACTTGGTGTCGTAGTGGCGACGGTGGTGCTTGTGGCAGTCGTTAATGGGATTGATGGTGTAATGGCTGCGCTTGTGGCGTGCAAAGTGGCGGTAGTTGGGTTGATTGTATGCCTTGCTCCGTTTGTGGTAGTTGTCGTGCTGGTGGCAGCAGTTGTGGTGGCGGTGAATACCGTCGTCGTTGTTGTAGTCGTGGTAAACATCGTTGTTGTGGTTGTGGTTGTGGTTGTGGTTGTGGTTGTGGTTGTGATTGTGGTTGTGCCCTGCGGCCCCTGCTGCATTGGCGGTGCTGGTGACGTGGTGGGTGGCAGCGGCGTATCGCTCGTAGTCGTAGTTGAAGGCACTGTTGCTGGACCCCCGACAGTCGAAGTGGTGGTCGTTGTTGTTGTTGTTGTAGTTGTTGCGACTGACGTTGTGGTGGTGGTGGTGGTTGTCACTGTGGTTGTCACTGTGGTTGTCACTGTGGTTGTCACTGTGGTTGTCATCGTCGTGATCTGTGCGCTCATCACCTGCAGCAGCACACCGCCAATGTTAAGTGGATCCGACATGTTCCGCCCCAGCACGAGCGTGCGGTGTGAGTCCCCAAGCATGATGTACTGTGTCAGCCGCACGCGCTGTCCACCTGCGGTGACAATGAACGTCGTGTTGTCAAATCCCTGAAGCAGCAGCGTCACCGCTGTGCCAACCGCGCTCTCCCCTGTCGCCTCCAAAGGAGGTAGCGACACGGTCTTTCCCGGACGGGCAGCAGTGAAGGGCAGCGAGACCGCATGTACGGGTCCACCGGTGAACATGGCGTTGACGAGGTTGAGGCGAAACGACGCAGCGGTGATGAGCGAGGTGGGGCGCCCCTGCACAGCGAACGTGACAGCATCAAATGAAGAGAAGTTGGCAATGGAAAACGCTTTGGCAGTCTCGCGTGTCGTGTACGCTATGTCGTGGTGATATGGCCCAACAAGCGTTCCGTTCATCGACACAAACACGTCCCTGGTAAAACGGTGCGTATGTATGAACGCAGCGTCAGTGAGTGTGTGTGTGTGTGCGTGTGTGTGTGTGTGTGGTGTGTAGCGTGTTGTGTGTAGCGTGTTGTGTGTGGCGTGTTGTGTGTGCGTGCGGTGAATGAGCTTGGGAATCTACTGGCATGCATCTGTGCGAATGTGCGTGCGTGCGTGCATGCAAGGTACGCAGTGTAACAAGGCCAAGACATCAGAGTGGACACGCGCTCGATAGGCTCACGTCTGGCCGCTGAACATTTCCATGAAGAAGTTGATGCGCTGCAGCCGCTTGAACATGGGATTGAGGCGGTAGAAGCGAAACGCCCGTGGTGGCAAACCACGGACCAGCACCTGGTGTCGTGAAGCATCCATGAGAAGGAAGGCAGTGTTGTGATGTGGTGGGCGATGGTGCAAGGCACATGAGCCATGACGGAACAAACGCGACGTGATGCGCACAAGCTCAGGCAGACAGTCAGGCAGACAGTCGGTCAGGCACACACACACACACACACATACACAGATCACACACGTACACATATACACACAGAGCACACACATAAGCACGTACACAGAGCACACATACACACAGATCACACATACACACAGATCACACATACACACAGAGCACTACAGGGACAACCCCACACAAGCAACCCCGCCTCTCATGCTGCTACTCACCGCATTGGCTGTGTCGACAATGACTGGCTGCCTGCACATGGTGGCCGCCACCAACTGGGGCAGCACCACAAACTTTGGAACGTCGCCGATGCGGATGACATTTTCGCTGACGGGTTCGCTGGCAATCAGCGCCATCTCGTTCGTCGACACACTCCCCGTCCCTGTTGTCACACGTGCATACACGTGGTTGGAAGGATTGGTGAGAACCTCTCTCAACCACAGACAGAGAACAAGAGATCAAGCAAGCAAGACAGACAGGGAGACATAGAGAGAGAGAGAAGGAGAGAGAGAGCTGAAGGCCGTGGTGGTGCACTCATGACCTGCAAGATAACGTGGGGCAGGCAGACATCTGAACAAGTAGGTGCACTGCAAGCTTGCATGTGCACTAAAGGGTAATACGCAAGCCGAAGACCAAGACGCAAGTGGGCATCGCCATACCAACAACGATGACGGTGACTCCGTGCTCGCGGAGCTGGCGTGCAGGCGCGATGAAGCTGTCATGGGCCGAGTGACTCACGAACAGCACTGCAATGCGGGGAATGCCCAGGTACGCAGGGCGCATCTGTGTTGCATTGCACGCGTGTGTGCGTGTGCGTGTGCGTGTGCGTGTGCGGGTGATGAATGAGAGTGAGTCGTTGCTCTGTAGCTGCTGCGAGATTGCAACCAAGCAACCGCAAATCAACCCTGCCTCCGTCTTCAACCTGCAGCAAGTTCATCATCATCACACTAACAGTAACAACAACCGCAACCGCGCACCGCAATAACTCAGGGCTCACAGCTCGCCGAACATCCGAGATGACACTCACTCCATATTTTTCGCCGAATACCGCCTGTCGTGCAGCAGCCAGAGCCGCCCCGGTGTTGGTGAAACCTGAAGGCCGTCAGGGGTGTGCGTGGAAGGTGAGGAAGTGAGAGAAGATTGGAGCGTAGTCGCGTGCGCGTTGCAACCTGACAGCCGCGGCCACAGCCAAAAGACGAAAACGATGGTTGAATAGTGTACAAAAGGAGAAAGCTGAGGTACAGCACACCCAGACACCATGAAGCAGCATCGCAGAGCAGCAGCCTCAGCGCTCCACTCGTACTCACCCCCTCGAAAGTTCTCCGTAGCAGCATGGGCCAACAGCTCGTCTGCGGAAAGGAATTCCGCAGCGTTCAACGTGTACAGGCGCGAGGGCGTGGTTGCGTATGTCATGAAGGCGATGCGGGTCTGGGAAGGGCTGATGTCGAAGCGGGAGGCGGTTTGCACGGCGTACGACCGAAGTTGGGAGAAGTCTTGGTCAACGTCGCCGCTGCTGTCCAAGATGAAGAGCACGTCTGCGGCGTGGTCGCGGCAGTCTGCCTGCACGGTGCTGACATAGACGTAGTTGTCTGTCTCAATGTTGTCAGGGATGGAAATGAACTCGAACCCGACCTCCCTAGCGTACTCTGCAATCTCGGCCAGGACATCTGCGCTGGCTGAGGAGGGCTTGTCTGCAGAGCCGAGGGCCAGGGCCCGCCCGACGTGCCTGAGCTCGGGCGCTTGGGTGGGCGTGTCTGGGCGAGGCTCATAACCGTTCTTGACCAGGAGCTCAAATTCAATGGAAGCCACCAGCATCTGCAGCATTGTGGCTGTGCGGAGTGTCATGAGCTGGTATTCTTGCTGCGCAAACTGCACTTCGAGTGCAAACTCCTGTAGTGAGATTGAGAGTGAGTGGGTGAGTGTGCATGAGTGAGTGAGCGTGTGTGAGTGAGTGTGTGTGCGAGAGAGAGAGAGAGCGTGTGTGTGTGAGTGGGTAGGTGTGTGTGTGTGTGAGAGAGAGAGTGTGTGGGTGTGTAGGTGTGTGTGTGTGTGTGGGTGTGTGTGTGTGAGAGAGAGAGAGAGAGAGAGAGAGAGAGAGAGAGAGAGAGAGTGTGTGTGTGTGTGTGTGTGAGTGAGTGAGTGAGTGAGTTAGTGAGCAAGCTGTGTGTGTGTGTGTGTGAGTGTGTGTGTGTGTGTGAGTGAGTGAGTGAGTGAGAGAGTGAGTTAGGGAGCAAGCTCTTGTGCTCGCAATTTTTGTGTGGTTGTATTGCTCTTGCGTGCTTGCAGGCAACGAAAACCAGGAGCTACGCGCACTTTCACGCGCACACACGCATACGCACACACGCATACGCACACACACATGCACCTCAGAGAACTCTTTGAAGTTGACGAGGGGCGCGGGCGCATCCAAGCTTGCGTCGAGGTAGTCCAGGGGCACGCCAGTCACCTCTGCCTCTGTCAGATCTGGTGGAGACTGGTACCCTGGTACTATGCCTGGGCTGCCAGCAATGCAGTGGTACGGGAACTGGCTCACGAACAAGAGCGAGGACGCAACTGCCACCAGCGTCACCGCGTGGATGGCGGCAAGCGGCAGCACCGCCATGACTAAAGTAAATGACTGTTCTTCTGTTCCCTTGTTGCGCGGGCCTGTTTGCTTTTGTTGCAGGACTCCTCCTCCTTCTCCCTTTGCCGGCTCTTGTCACTCTTGTCACAGCCTTGTCACAGTCTTGCGACGGTCCTGTCACAGTCTTAAGAGTCTTGTCGCTCGTCCAATCCTCACCCACCCGCACGCACGCACACGCACGCACCCACGCAAGCAAAAAGGACTTCAAAGGCGAGGGGCGAGGCACGAGGAATGATGAATGTTTTCCATTAAATTTCAGCAGCATGAGACGAGTGTGGGTCTGGGCGTGTGTGCGTGTGGGTTGTTGTGGGTTGTTGTTGCTTTCCTTTGCCTTTGGTTGGCACCACTCATCAGCTTGTATGAATGAATGAAGCGAACAAGCAGCAAATGAAGGTGTTCAAGGCGACCAGCGACTCCAGGAACGACAGCTGTTGCTTGCTTGTGGAAGGCAGGAACAACAACAGCAAAGAAGCAAAACAAGCAAGGAAGCACTGGCATTAGGAAGGAGTTGGGACTGAAGGAAGGATGCCTTCGTGCTTGAAAAGAAGAAGAAGACTGTTAGTGAGGGACAGCATCAAATCAAGAAGAACTTCACATAACGTTGTCACGTAACAGCAGGAATCATGGCGAACACAAATGCATGGAGTCCCCCCATTCAAGGACAAAACAAGCCAGGAGCAGTGTGTTGAACTTGCACGGGAGGGGAAGAAGAAACCCAAGTAACAACAGAACAACGATGTTCATGCATCTCGCTTGCGCGTGGATGAGGATGAACCAAAAGTCAAATAACAAGCAAGGAAAAGGAGCAACAAAACCAGAGGAAAAAACAGAAAGACGGTAATGTAAAATCCAACGAGAGAGCGAGGCACAGGCAAGAGGAAATGCTCCAATGCGGCGTGCTTGTCGCTGCGTCATCGTCAGAGTGTTGGTGCAGAGTACAGCGCCTCGCCGTCATCGCCAATGTTGTCGTACGTGGTGGAGGTGGGCAGGGTAGGCGGCCGCTGCTGCCGCGAGGGCGTTTGCGAGGAGGAGGGGAACGTAATCAGATATCCACCATCGGGGTCCGTGTTCTTGTCCGTGGCCGCTGCTTGCTGGTGCGTGTTCTTGTCGCTGTGCGCAACGTCAGCCGCTGTGGCGTAGAGGTCGTCGTCGCCACCGCCGTCTGTCTCGGACGTGGCCACGTCGTACGATGGGTGCAGGGCGCGGTGGCGCGGGTTCTCCGCATAGTGCGCTGGCATTGGTGAGGCCATATCGTAGGTGGGGGCGTTGGCTCGTGCCTTTGCACCGTCCTTCTCCTCCTCATCTTCATCATTGCCAACGTTGGCCAGGGACTTGGCTGTTGGGTTGTCGTACGTCACGTCGACAGCAAGCGCGCCTGCACGCCGCTGCGTCTGCTGCTGTTGCGAAGCGACATCGTACAAGGGGACATCAAACCCTCGCAGCTGTTCGTGCTGCTGTTGTGGCGTCACGGTGGTTGCAATGTCATACAGCGGAGCCGTGTTCTGCTGCTGCTGTTGTGATGCGACATCATAGAGCGGTGCGCCCTGGGTTTGCTTCTGCGGCGGCTGTTGTTGCGATGCCCTGTCGTAGAGTGGGACCCCAAAGCCCTGCACGTCCTCCTCCACAGCGTTGTCGTAGATGGCCTGACCATCGCCGCCATCGCCCACGTCGTACAGGGCGGTCTTGGTGCGGGCGACGCTGACTGCTGCTGCTGTTGCGTAGGCCGGTGGCGCCGTCTTTCCCGTGTGCATCGGCAGCTCGTACACCCGGTTTGGGCTGGCGAGCGAACACCACAATGGGACATGTGAGCAGGACCGGGGGAAGGGGGGGGGAGGCTTGACACGGCAGACAGACGCGGGCACACAAACAGAAACAAAAAGACAAACGTAGACAGACAGAAGGACAGAAAGCAAACGACGGGAGACAGACACAGACATACAGACACACACACACACACACACACAGACACACACAGACACACACACACACAGAGACAAACACACACACACACACACACACACACAGACACACACACACCTGATGGCATCTGGCTCTTCGTAGTCTGGCAGGAACATGTTTGAGACGGGGACCATGTATTGGCCGACGTGGTTTGCCGGTCGCTGCGCCCCACGTGATGGCGGGGCTGGCACCTTGCTCTTGCCAGCTGTCGTATATGCAGGCAACCGCGATGGGCGGCGGTGTTGGGATATGCACATAGATGAGGCGTTGAGGTGATTGGCACCAAAAAGACAAGGGAACACAACCACACATCGATCCAACTGGGATGGGGGTGGACTTGGAGGTGCATGAGGTACATGGGTACATGAGGTGCATGGGGTGACAGACCTGCGTTGGCTGAGTTACGTCGGCGGCGCACAAACAGCAGAATCAAAGCAATGATGATGACCATGCCTGCCGAGAGGCGAATGACGTGGAAAGCGTGTACGGGCGAGGGGGTGAGTGGGTGAGTGGGCGAGCGAGTGAGTAAGCGAGTTCGTGAGTGTGCGTGTGTGTGTGTGTGTGTGTGTGTGTGTGTGTGTGTGTGTGTGTGTGTGTGTGTGTGTGTGTGTGTGTGTGTGTGTGTGTGTGTGTGTGCGCGTGT